ATTTTACAGGAACGGCTCGAAGCACGTCTCCAGTCTTGGTTGCCACGTGTTGTCAAACGGTGTCTTTAGATGTCTCGACTGCCAAATGGGTTGAAGGAATAATGAAAAGCCTCAAGCTATGAATATTGTTGAAACTTGAATTTTTAGAAAGGATTAAGGGATTGGGGGGGGGGGGGGGCATATTGCTTGAATGTAATCTGTTTACGGTTTATACGCCAATTCTTGCTCCGACACATTTCACTACGAGAGATCGCTGTCAGAAACGGACTTCTTATAACAATGAATGTATTTGTTGTTTGAAATGTATTTGTCTGCTGGCAGCTTTCTCTTGAACCGTGTGGCATGGGGGGGGGGGGCACCCCTCGCTTTATAAAATGTTCTGTAAAGAGGGAAAACAGTTGAGAATGAAGTTCCGCTCTTTGCTCGACTCTCGCGTTTTTCTTATGTACGAATTTTGACATTTTTATTCCAACTCGGTGATTATATAAAGTTGTATATTTAAATGATTGAAAATAATAAAATTTGAGAAATTAATTTGTTCTATTTTTGTCATTTGACGCATTTAATGTTGAGTTTTCATCTTAACCCAAAACACATTTCTCCCCCCACACACACACAATTTTATTTGCATTTGATCACATTTATCATTTCACTGATATTTTTGTACAAAGAAAAAACATTTTATCTGTTCCAACTCTCAGAACTTGGCTTTTTGTGACCAATAATTAAAGCAAAAGATTTCCTTTATAATGAATTAACTTTATTTAAAAAGGGACAATGTACAACTCGACCATAAATGTCTCCATTTGATGCTCTGTACCAGATTATAGCAAAAGTTCATTTGCATCTGCAGTCCTTTGACAAGTAAAAAAAAAAGACAGGAAATATAACCCTATAAACCACTTTAGACCCCCCAGACCCACCACCACCAGGGTGCCCCCCCACACACACTTGAATGCTTCTGACGCCAATGGCCACCATGTTGTTTAAGCTCAGACCTGTCAAAGGTCAGATTCTAGAATCGCCCTGGTCTGGAAAAAAAACAAAAAAAGAAACCAACACGTGATGTGCAAACAGCCGGAAGTAGAACATCATGAGCGTGCACGATCATGTTGAAGTGTAGCATTTTTAACTCCAAATTTAATTAACTTTAATCGACTGGATCTTTAAAATGTGAGGTTCTGTCGTTGGAACATCTTCCACTGCAGTGCGGGTTTATTCCCACGAGATGGCGCTCCGTGTCAGCTCACGCGTGGCATCGCGTTCAATCCAAACACGACCTGCAGTCTTTGGTCCGACGTCTGTGGGATGACCTGACTCATCTGTCCGAGCCGAGGTTGAGCCTCAGTCCGGGCTCTGAGCTGCTCATCATGCGCTTCTTCCTGCGCGCAGGACTCCTTCTCCTTTTTACGCACGGCCTCGCCGGAGCCGCGCGCCCTGACAAATGCGCCTCCAGGTGTGACGTGAGCTCGTGTCCGAGCCCCAGCTGTCCCGGCAGCGGGTACGTCCCGGACAGATGCAACTGCTGCCTGGTGTGCGCGCCGCGCGAGGGCGACCCGTGCGGGCGCAGGAACGACCTGCCGTGCGGGGACGGCCTGGAGTGCAAGCCGCTCTCCGCGGGGAGGCGGCGAGGCTCCAAGGGGGTGTGCAGGTGCAAGCTGGAGCACGAAGTGTGCGGGAGCGACGGGAAGACGTACGGAAATGTGTGCAAGATGAAGGCAGCGAGCCGGAAGGCTGCGAGCAAGGGGAGAGCTGCTGTGATCCACGCGCACAGAGGCGCGTGTTCACCTCCGAGCACAGGTAGGAGTCAGACACAGACTGAACTCTTCAGGATCACCCCACTGTCCCTCCTCTGGACATGTCCAAACCACTGTCCCTCCTCTGGACATGTCCAAACCACTGTCCCTCCTCTGGACATGTCCAAACCACTGTCCCTCCTCTGGACGTTTCCAAACCTCTGGACATTTCCAAACCACTGTCCCTCCTCTGGACATGTCCAAACCATCTCAGTGTGTCTTCTCTAACTTCATCTCCCAGTTGTTCAACCTGTGCTGTACCTCTGATGACCTCATTCCTGACCTTCTCCATCCTGGTCTCTGTCCATGTCTCTGTCTTCAGACCATACAACATAGGTGGTCTCACCACTGTCTTTAAACTTTTCCTTTGACTTTAGTTGTCTAACTTTTGTCACAAATCACTCCTGAAACTTTCCTCCATCCTGCTCTTCTTCACCACTTTACTGTCACAAAGTGATGGACCTTTCCTCCAGTGGTCACTCGATCTGTCTCAACATCATTTGATAAAAGGCCACTCTGTTTTTAAACCTACAATCTTCTCAGTTTCTTTTCCCAATGTTGAGATGTTTCTCATATCGTGTAAATAAATAAAAACAACCAGGATTTCTTGGTTTTAAAAGTGTTTGAGGCTATTTGAACTTTTTTTTCCAAGGAAAAGCTGTAAAAATATCTCCACCCTCAGAGGTTTACTTCAGATCTTAGATGGTAATTTATGTTTACAGTGAGAATATTTAGTTGATCTCTAATGACGCAGCTGTTTCTTCTCGTCGGCGCAGGTCAGTCCCTGGTTCGTCTCAGCAGCCCTCGCTACAAGTTCAACTTCATCGCTGACGTAGTGGAGAAGATTGTGCCTGCTGTCGTCCACATCGAGCTGATTGTGAGGTGGATGTGAAGTTTGGTGTAAAAAAAATAATAAAACCGTATTTTTCATCGTATAAGTCGCATCTGTCAAGAAAAGCATCACAAAGAGGACATAAACATATATATACACACACGTCACACGACTGACAAATCTATGCAAAAAACTGATTTATACGCCTGAAAATACGGTAATTACAAAAAAAAAGAAGCTTCATACAGAAAAATCTGGCCCCGGTTTTCTGTCACAATTTTTGTAGCTCTTTGAATTTATCCGTTCAAACAGTCTCTGAAATAAAATCTTTTTTTATCCCTTTTTCTCTCCCCAGACATCCCCTGTTTGGTCGCCACATGCGTCTGTCCAGCGGTTCTGGTTTCATTGTGACCCACTCGGGTGTGATCGTGACCAACGCTCACGTGGTAACCACGGCGGCCACGCTGAGCGGCAGGCCGCAGCTGCGCGTTCAGCTGCACGATGGCGATGCGTACGAGGCGGTGGTCAGAGACGTGGACAGGAAGGCAGACAT